GGTTACGTCACGCTGTTCAGAAATCATTGCGGAAAACCCGTCGGGGGAGGTCAAATTGACCTCCACCGAAGCGCGTGCTAAGGAACAAGGAAAAAGCTAAGTTACGAAAAAGTTACATGTACCTTGTATGGCCGCTGACCCATGGCATGTCAAAGTCAGGCTGTAGCTGTCAGCGAAGGCCATTTCTAAGGAACCGTTCAATGTTCTTGCCAAATTCTTAGGCGATTAACTAAATGCATGTAGAAGGACAATAAATTTCATTGACCACGGTCAGGTGTGAAGGCCAGACCGAGGTCAAAAATAGCCTGTTTTTTAATCAAAAACTTGGTTGATGAGGTAGTTTCTAGTGCTCATTTCCGTTTCATTAATGACAAGGAGCGCAAAAGACATGTTCCATGAACTTTTTAAAGATCAGAGTAGGTCATTAACCTAAAACGACCCAGGCCAACATTATGCTTTCAGGAACGGGCCACCTAATCTAATCCCTGACGCTTGGCAGATGGCAAAATAGGAACAATCTTGTTTATCGTGGGTATTTGGTCACCTTGGCCTTATTAAGGTCAAACAAGGGCGCTTACGTTAATTTAATACCATTGACCTTTTGTTGAGAGCAAATATCTAACTTCACGGAGGTTGCATGAGAGCGTCTGGGTCACTTGAAACACAAATATAGAGTTTAATCTTGTTTGGCCTTAAATGATGCTATGAGATCTTATGGGGGAAACTTGACCTCAACCCGAGTGAACGGTATCGAACCAGCCACGTGGGCTCGTGTTAAGCGGCTAATTTTGCGCTGATCCAAAGGAAGACAAAATTAAACACGGCGGGTTCAACGTCTGTGTTTCTTAAACCAGCACAGACAACGGCAGACGCGTATGAGCAAGATGGAATGCAACTGAAATGTGGTTGCCAGGGCCGCTACATTGCCGCAGCCGGCTCCCCTTAGGCTCAGCCGATGGATCAGGCCGACGTAATTGCCTCAACAAAATGTCTCCTGACTCTGCGGCCTTGATTGCGACCAAGGAGTCGGCTCGGCGGTCCGGTGCGACCTTGTCGTCTGTTGTGGTTATTCAGGAAGGCCCTAAATGGAAAGCTGGGTTTCCTAACCAAGTGAAAAAATACGCCTTTGTTGAATTGCGCCTGGACAATCCTTGGCAAGGAGTAAAATCTGCGTATCTGCAGTTGCACGCGGAAAATATCGAGGCACATATATCATCTATACGTTTTTTAATGCCAAGAGAAACCAAATTTCGGAAGCTGGGTTCAGCTCGCATGGACGTATTGGGTGTGTGGTCAGTGTTTCCATAGATGATAGGTTACCAAAGTCTTTGTTCTATAGGAATTGGAAAGATCCAATATGTCCGGATAAGAGTCACCTATAAGATCTGTGAGTGCAAATGGGAGATTATGTGTATTTGTAAAGTGTGCGAGTGGTTGTCGCGCGCGCATCGGTATATGGGACGTGTGGGCAAAAAGTGTTCGACGGTGTCTGGAATGTGGCAAGCAGTGTTCGACGGTGTCTGGAGTGTGACAAGCAGTGTTCGACGGTGTCTGGAGTGTGGCAAGAATGACATAAAGGAAGTTGTGTCAACATTCAACTAGACGGCCGAGAAGAAGGTTAACTTCCCTGATCTCCAACTTCCAGAAGTCGTATGATAAAAATAAGATACCGTTGTAAAGGTCTCGTCCAATCATGAAAAATGCACACCATGTTTTTGATCTTATGGTAAAGGTGGGTTGACCAGAGGTCACGAAAGGAAAACACGGTCGTTCTGATATGCGACTGCAGTTCAAGCATATGTTAATACATCAGGACAAATATTGAGGACACAGAAGAAATCGTTAAGACTGTGAGAGGTCCATTCCGGGTATTTCTGATTTCACAAAATGGTCAGGTCAGGTCAGGCCACCATGCAAAGTTGACCTACCAGCAGCCTACAAGAACGATACTGTTAAGTTTACTTTCACAGTATGGTTCTGACCAAGTTCATGTCTTATGTGCAGCGGTGGGACAAAAGTATGCAAGGCACACAAAAATCGCTTTAGACTGACCTAGAGGTTATTTGAGGCTAACTCATGTCAAATCCATACACCATCAAAATGAAAAAATTAAAACGATAACCGGATCTAAGTAACCAGTGCAAAGTTCTTCTATGGTCAGATGTAGTGTGTTGTACGTCTACAGGTTATCAAGATCGCATAGTTCTTGTATACACTATACAAAGTCCCTTCGAGGCTTGGCAATGCATCCGTAACAAACTGAGAACAGGCACCTCTGCGCATTAACACGCGCCCGGGTGACCGGCTAGATACCTTTCGCTCGGGTGTGTGTGGGGGGGGGGGGGGGGGGGTCAATTCGACACCCCCGTGAGATCTCGGGAACTAAGAAAGCTAGATACACCAAATTTACAGGGTGTGTTGACCTGTACGTAAACTCACTCATGCCAAGGTTTCAGGTTCCTAGGTCATGACCTTTAAATCAAAAAGGTCCAACAAGTTAAAGTTCCAGGTTGGTCTCCAAAGTGTCCCCAGAACCTAGCTAATCGTTTCTAAGCAAAAGGTCACGTGTTCATTCAAGGTCAGTGACCTTGCTTGACCTTTTGAAGGTTAAGGTGACCAAAATCATACAAGATTGCTTCGAGTTTTGCGTTCGACTAAGCGACAAAGATTACGCTAGGCGGTATGTTCCTAAAACAAAATGTTGACCTCAGTTAGTTTAGGTCAATGACCTATTCTGACCTCTAAGAAGTCCATGGAAATTGTATAATGCGGTTCCTGCTAACAAGCATGCCCTAGAGTAACAAAACAGGTTGGTTTTGACCTTAGTGTGACCTTCATACCTGACCTTAGGTCAGTGTAATTTGTTCATTTAACTATTGTGTTGCATAAGAAAGCATCTCATAAACGTATGGCTTCGTCTAACACTCCGTTATTGGATCAGACTAAAGGATTCCCTAGAAATTGCCTTCGCTGAAACCATGGCCTGACTTTGACCCGCCATAGGTCAGCGACCTTACAAGGTACATCTCAATTGGTGATGTCAAACGATCCGCTATCAATTTCTACAGCTATGCAAAATTTGTCGCGGCTACGCCACGCCGTTCGGAAACTATTCTGGAAAACCTTCGGGGGGGTCAATTTGACCCCCACCCGAGCGCGTGTTAAATCATGCGTGATCAACTTCACACAAACGATATAGAGGGGGTTACACGCATCGCAGTCTTTCATCTAGCCTCTCCGCTACTGACAACAGAGGCTATTAGGCATAGGCAACAGACCTTGGACAAACTCATATGATCTTGCATCTCCTTACGTGTCCTAGTGTGATCTCATTTTGCAGTAGAATAATGTCGCAATATGTTTTCAATAGAATGTTCGGATTATGTGCGCAAAATTCACTACAAAACGCGTGATTTGAGCAAAGGATTTTTCAAAAGGCACCCAAAGAGGTTAATATTAAGCTAGGCCAATGCCACATGTTCTGTGGTCATATGATGGTTGTGTGCGTGCGTTAGCACCCTTTACCCCTTAACAAACACCAAAACCACAAAAATATGGCAAATGTGCATTGTTTACGAAAAAACATTAATTAACCTCACTTCAGGCCACTGACCTTACGTGTTTCCGAAGATCTGAACCCTAAAAACTGTAGGTAGAACACTCTGACCTGACCTATGTCACTGACCTTGACAAATGAAAGCTTCAAATTTGCACAAGGGATGCTAGATTAATAAATCAACAGGTACCTGAATTCTTGTGCTGCCGCTAGTGTCACCGCCGTTCGTATTTTAGCTGTGCTCGAAAGATTGGAGGAGGAATTCAAATTCCCTCTTCATGGCGCGGGTTAAAGCAGCGACCGCGCTAACCTCAGGTTTGGAGAGGTCTGCATGTGCCGCTCCTGTTTGGAACTAATTTTATAGCAGGTCCACGAAGGGCACGTAGGGGTTGTTGGTTTACCCATATTTTCTTCTACGTAAAAATGACTGTGCGAATGGAGCACTGACGGAATAATTGGTTGTACGTGGATATAAGATGCAACTACGAATACCAGTAATGGTATCTGAGGAGACCCTGCTATTGAAACTTGCTGCAGCCTCCCATCGATTTTAGGCGAAGTGTCATTCTCCGAAAAGCCTAACAAGTCACACAGTCGCACTGCGTTGCATGACACGAGCCTGGATCAGCCTGGGCATACGGCTTTGGTCCCATTTGCGTTTGTGAAGGAAGTTTTCATGCATGTTTCATTGTCATATTCAGCATGCACATCTTCTGCGTCGGCCCCATTCCCGAACTTTATGTCCATTCGTCAGCCTAAGTTACGGTTTTATGGATATGGCGATTTTTTCTAAAATTCGTTATAGTGTTAACTCCTGAGCATAGCTCAATTTGGTTGTCTGCCGTGATCGTGTCTTTTTATACTACTGTGAAACGAAAACATCACATTCTTAGATTTAAAGGAATGTTTCACATTTGAAGATATTGAAGCAGGCACAAGGTAAGATAAAAACCCTCCTCTAGACAAAACAATTTATCTTTAGTGAATATGCTCTCCAATACGTCAATGTTTGGTTGCGTCATCGTGCCTTGCATAACAATGATTCAGAGCCAACTGATGGCCATTATATCCGGAAATCGTGCTCACGAACGCCAGGTATGATTAACTTGACAATCACATTTGTCTTGGCCTTGATCACCGCGTAGCTAATGAAATGGCAAGATTTAAATAGCGTAATCATGGTGTCACGGATGCCTGGGCGACCATGAAGCAGTTTCCCCGAAATAGTCTGCGCATCTTCGCAGCCGTGCAGCTTAGAAACAGGAGAGGTTTAGATCTTAAGAAGGGCGGGGCTGTGAACTGCACCAGATGATCTTCAAGACGGCTATTTCAGTTTACAGAAAAGAAAAAAACACTACAAATGAGGAACGCTCTCTTTCAGAGTACATACCCAGTAAATATTCATCCCTCAGTGATCGACTCCCGCGGATGGTGTTTGTTACAGATGGTGAGTTTCTGTCCGCCTCATCCTCCGAGGACCGGCTATGCGCGCGCGACCGACCGGCGCACCGCTACAGGGGCCGACGCCGTGAGGACCCACTCAGCGATGACACGTCCGGCAGCTCAGACCAGGGAGACATCGATTGACCGTGACATGCACTGCCAGCAAGATACACTGTTGCCTGGCTCAGCTGCGGGCGATGTGCGCTACTTATGGCGTATCACTGCCGATATTATGAGCACTGTTGGTAGTATGCATTTACTGCTGAAGGCAGGTGCTCGTGCTGATGTTTGCTGTCGATGGGTTGCTCCGCTGGTGACGCCTACTGTTGACTAGATGCATAGCTGATAGATATTGTATGCAAGACTGATGAGATCGCTGCTTATGATGAACGTCGCTGGTGAGAGAGCAGTCGGCTATGGGGAGCAACACGACCAGCCTGCCCGCCAATCAGCAGCTGAGAAGAACCTGAGATGAAACACTGCATGACGACGATCCCAAGCGCGTCTTCGTATATACTTTCGGGGGCTGAGCCCCCCATGCTGCTCTGAACTCTCAATGCGTATGAGTAAAGGGAAGATACTAGGCTAACGAAATATTAAACGAACGTTCATAAGTATTGGTATACTAGGTACTTAGACCTATCACTGTTAGTACCAAGTTCATTTTGTACCGAGGAGTATGCAGTAGGTACCAACAGTTTTTGTTATGCCACATTCTTTATATGTTGGCCAGCTTGCAAACATATGACAATTTTTACATGATAATACCTGGATTGGAGTGAAGAAGAATTGAATGCAGCATGTGGCAGCTTTTAAAAGTACGGGATGACTCATGAACGATTTTACCTGTCTTTCCCTCAACAGTAGCAAGTGTACATGCAGTAAGAAGTGTGCGCACAATTGTGACTGTAATGTCATTCCACTGTCAATAGAATAGGACAATACAATCAGCGATAGTGGAAGTTATCAGTAACTTAACACCCTTCAAATCGTGGCATCAAAAGTTGCTCCAGATGGCCCCAAAAATGCACACCACCTGAAGCTGTTGCAGGTTTTCGATTGTCCGGTCGACTTGTCCAAGGTGATGCGTCCCATTTTAAGTCCAATGGTGACCTTGAGCTGATAGGTTCGCTGTCCACGTCGGCGAGTTTCCCGAGGTGACCTCACAGTATGAAATCCAAGGCGGCAGTTCGAACGCGTGAAGAGGTGCACTCTTAGAACCGTCTCACTTGCTCACCACTCTAGAACACTTGTGACAGTTTTCAAGTCGAAGGTAAACTCATACAACATACAAGCGAGGAACTTATTATTTCATGTCAAATTTAGGCAAAACTAACTATAAACAATAATTGGGTATAACCGTTCGATCATCATATGTGCGGAGTCTAAATTTGGTGGCTAAAATTTTTGGGAGCATAAACATTCAAGCGGCAAAACTAGTCCTGAAAAGCGAGATGCACCATCTATAATGATGGTAACGATCACCCTTAAATGAGATGAGGCGTGGCTGGGGGTTGGTGTGTTTGTCCTGTTCCGGTGGTGATGTTTTGATCGTCACAGCGTCCAGAACACAAAGCTTCATCATGTTTGGTGATGATCTCATGATGCTGGTCTCTCTAGTTAGGTCGTCTCGGTTGATATTCCGGACGTGTTCTTTCCCATGAACACTTTTCAAGCACCGGTATCCAAGCGTATCGTTAATCGCCTTGAAAGTGTGGTGAGGTAGTACCAACACAGTTTGATTGCTTTAGGAGTCTGCAATCTCCCATGTCACAACAAAATTGGTAAACTTCGTTGACCCGTTTCAAGGGATCAGATTTGGGCGTGAGGTTTTTCTCGTGACGACTTAGATAACCTTTTCGATTTTGTAGTAGATGAGCGATATCCTGTCGTCCTTGTGGACTGGCTTTACGTCCAATATAGTTTTTCAGGACATGCTCGCCTGCCCGATTACCATCAGACATTTGATTCTGATAGAACAGTCTGATTTGTTTTGCTTGATATTTGATGGCGTCAGTTTTTGTCTGATACCGTGACACAAAACTGCTGTTTTTATGGTCGATGAAACTGTCCGAGTAGCCATTTTGTAGCCGTCAGCTTTACAAGGACTTGTTTGATGCGTTGTAGTTCAATATGTAGTTGCGTCCAATCAGAGCAGAGTTTGAAGGCTCTTCGGAGATAGGGGCGCACTGCACTGGTCTTGCACCGGTCGGGGCACTCGGTTGTGACACTGCGGCATCGTCCAACACTTGTTGGATTTGTGTGCACTGTTGTCTTGAATCATTGTTGGTCAGCAGTGGTGTTTATGTCTAAGAATGGAATGTGGTTAGTGACGCTTAGTTCGTAGGTGAATCGGAGAACTGAAGCTTGTGCCACTGATTGTTTTTAGTTCGATCTGTTGGATTTTGACATTGATGTCCACGAAAATGTATCCGACATATTGTGCGTAGAGCGCGTGACGAATTGATTCATTTTGAAGGAATTCCTTTGCTCCATGGCGAATTTTTCAGCGGTAGAGTTTGCCGTCTGGTGCACGAAATGGTGCCGCTGCCGTACAGGCTCAAAGGAATTTCTCCAGAAGCGAGGGACTGAGTTTAGGAGGACGGCTGGTGGGGTGGAGATGCGTTTCCAAGCAGGATTTGTATTGCCTCTTCTACCGGAACGCTCGTAGATAACTCCTCGAAGTCTAGTGATGCTAACATGCCAGAACGTAACATGCGCCTTACTATGTCCGAGAACACGTCCGTTAGGGCATGTTTCATCTGAGTGTGCGGTGCGACGAGGCTGTTGAACTGCTTGGCCAGCTGTCAGGTTGACGTTAGGCACCGTGAATTAATCGGGCACGCCGGGTTTCCTGTTTAGTGAGTTTTGGCATTCCCATAGGCGTAGTAGCTGCGCTGGTATTCTCCAGGAATCTTCTGGAAATGAACACCATCCTTGATAACATTGGCACAGTCGATCAGTTTATTTAATTTGGTTCTCAAGCTGGGTGTAGGGTCTCGCCTGATATGTTCAAACTTAGCTACATCTGAAAGTGCTTGTTTATCTTTTTATAGCAATCAGACCCGTCAACAATTACGTACAAGGATGCGTTGTCGGCTCTTTTTACCGTGATCCTGTTGTTCCCTCTAAGGGTTTTCTGGGCTGTTCTAACTTCTTTGGTCGGGAATTTGCTTTTATAGTTGCTTCGTCTGATGGCACTTTCTCCGATGAGTCGATTCCGTAACTCCGAGTCTACCTTAACCGTACTACTATCGCATGGTTTCAAAATATATTGGTATAACTCAAACTCCACTTTCTTGTCTGTTACGCTAAATTCTGCCGGTGAATGACAGTTTAGATCAAATTCAAGACTTCCTTCACTTTTTCTGTTAATTCATGCGTATAAACGTTGATAAAGCATTCTTTTCTACACGAACGTCAGATGCACCATACAGGTTATTTAACTTCTTCAGGTTCTCTGCTCTGTGCCGTTGTCAGCGAACTGAACGAGATGCTTAAGCTCTGCTTCGATAGATGATTCCAGACTGCTACCAGTTAGATTCATAAAATTTGTCACCTTCCTCACCTGTTGTCTTAGTAATAACGCAAGCTTTGCTCTTTCTTCCAACTGCCAACTGCCTGTGATAAGAAAGCTAGAGCAAGTGCAGAAAAAGCTTATCAAATGCACTCACGCCAAGATCTTTAATAACATTGGCATATAAAATAATCGGCTGCCTACATATACAACTATATAAATTCATAGTTGCATAATTATAAGAAGTATTTATTCATATATATATATATATATATATATATATATATATATATATATATATATATACGCGACCATAAGTGAATGATTCAGTTCGAACCTTTTGATGTAGTGCCTGAAAATTGTAATATTCACCATTGCATGCTTATTAGCGTTGTTTCCCCGAGACTTCCATCGGTCTGCACGTTTGCTTGTTTCAAGGCGCACTGAAAGTACTTATAACTTGAGACGGATCCTAATGTTTGCTTGCATCAAACGGTCTGTCACCAACAACAGTGTGCTGTGCGATATACAGGCATACGCGATTGTTCACAAGCAGTTGTTTCGACATCTGCTATGGGGCTCTGCGCAGTAGAGTCGAGTGTGCCAAACGCCTGTTGTGAAAATCTACGGCGGTCTCGCTGGACGTCGGGCGGTCGCCACAGAGCCGTCGTCGGGCAGCTCGGCTCGTCGGCAGTGCCCAGTTCCGGTGCGCAGGTGCAGCCCGCGCCACAACAGGCGCGGCTCCCGCGGGGACAGCGTCTGTTGTGATGACCGCCGCCCAGGTCCCAGCTCAATACGCTCCCTGCCTGCAGCCGCCATCCATTAGGGCGCACTAACTGTGTGCCACGGCCGCGGCTGGCCCCGGGGATGCCACCAGACGAGTAACGGCGTAATGATGCCGCGTCGCATGAGACACCACCGCGGCCCGGCAGACGCAGGAGGCGCCGCGTCGCATGAAACACCACCGCAGGAGGCGCCGCGTCGCATGAGACACCACCGCGACCCGCCAGACGCAGGAGGCGCCGCGTCGCATGAGATACCACCGCGGCTCGCCAAACGCAGGAGGCGCCGCGTCGCATGAGATACCACCGCGGCTCGCCAAACGCAGGAGGCGCCGCGTCTCATGGGGCACCACCGCGGCCCGCCAGATGCAGGAGGCGCCGCGTCGTATGAAACACCACCGCAGGAGGCGCCGCGTCGCATGAGACACCGCCGCGACCCGCCAGACGCAGGAGGCGCCGCGTCGCATGAGATACCACCACGGCTCGCCAAACGCAGGAGGCGCCGCGTCGCATGAGAAACCACCGTGGCCCGCCAGATGCAGGAGGCGCCGCGTCGCATGGGGCACCACCGCAGGAGACGCTGCGTCGCATGAGACACCACCGCGGCCGCCATACGCAGGAGGCGCCGCGTCGCATGAGACACCACCGCGGCCCGCAACACGGCAAGGCATCTAAGAGTCCTCAGTCGAGACTTAGCCCAATCAGGGATCCCTCTCCAGAGTATGTGCGGGTGCTTGGACCGGGCTCTCGCCAGGGAGATGCTCCGTGTCAGGGAGAGCCAGTCCGCAGCGCGCCAAAGGAAGTGCTCCACATTTGAGGATGTTAAAGAACGCACCAGTTATGAT